ACTGCTTTCTTCTGCAACAACACTCTTCCACCATGATATTCTATCTCACTTTGGGCCTAGAGTAAGGGAGTCAACAACCCTGGCCTGAATCTCTGCAACCTGCACTGAGGTAAGAAACTGAAGAAAACACTAGAAGAAAGAAAGATCTCCAATGTTCTTTTTTTTTTTTTTGAACCAGGTATTGAACTCAGGGGCACTTGACTACTGAGCCACATCCCCTGCCCTATTTTATATTTTATTTAGAGACAGGATCTCACTGAGTTGCTTAGTGCCTTGCCATTGCTGACGCTGGCTTTGAACTTGCAATTCTCCTGTCTCAGCCTCCCGAGCCAACTCTCCCACATTCTTGGATGTGCAGAATTAACACTGTGAAAATGGTCATATTACCCAAAGCAATACATACGCTCCATGCAGTCCCCATCAAGATACCAATGACATTCTTCACAAAACTAGAAAAAGCAGTCCAAAACTTCATGTAGAAGAATAAAAACCCAGAATAGTCAAAGCAATCTTGAGCAGTAAGAGCAATACTGGAGAATTCATAATTTCCAACTTCAAATCACACTACAGAGCTATAGTAACCAAGAAAACTCTGCATGATATTGGCATAAAAAAAAGATATGGAATAGTTTAGAGGATACAGAGATGAACAAACCCAGATATAAATAATCATCTGATCTTTGACAAAGGTACCAAAAACATATTGGAGAAAAGACAACCTTTGGAACGAAAGGTACTGAGGAATTGGATATTCACATGCAGAAGAGTGAAATTAGATCCCTATTTCTCATCCTAAAAGAAGCCAATGCAAAGTGGATCAAAGACCCAGAAACTTTTCAACTGCTAGAAGAAGACACAGGATGGACATTCCATCATGTAGGTACAGGCATTGGACTTCTTCAATGAGACCTCTAATGCTCAGGAAGTACATAAATATAAATATATAAAGAACTCAAAAAAATTAACACCAAAAAAATCATTCTTATGTCAAAAAATGCATTCTACTGGCATGTATAATTAATTAGAACAAATTAAAAAATCATTCTTAATTTTGGCCCTGGGGATTGAACTCAGGGACACTTAACCACTGAGCCACGTTCCCAGCCCTTTTTAATTTTTT